TAGCCATTGAATTTTAGAAAAATTTGGAATAAAAGTAACTAGGAAGTTCAAGTACACCATCCGCAAGAGCAACCCTGTTGAAAGATTTTGCACTGAACAATCAAACGAATTTTAAAAAGTTTTGTGTATTCGAAGCAGCCCCTGAGTGGAAGAAAGCAAGTTCCCTGCAGCTTTCTATTTGCTTTTAAGAACAATAAGGCACGAGAGTACGGGATTTACACCTGCAGAATTAGTATATGGTCGAAATCTTAGAACACCTGTAATATTATTATATGAACAATGGATGAATCCTGAAGATGAAGGAAATAATGTTGTTGAATACGTTTTTCAATTGATAAATCGGTTAAAAAGATGCAAAGAGCTGGCTACAGATAAAATGCTGGAAATGCAAACCAAAAGAAAAGTGTGGTACGATCGTAAAGCTATCTAAAGAGAATTCTCTGAAGGTGATTTAGTATTAGTTGTATCAACGAATAAACCAAACAGACTAGCAGTTGAATGGAAAGGTTGAGAAGAAATTATCTGAAACTAATTATGTTGTGAGTTTCGAAGGAAAAAATGACTTTAACCAAGTCTACCATGTTAACATGCTAAAACCTTATCATAGGCGAGCAGAATTGGTTAACCTTATGATTACAGAAGATCAATCTGAAATTGATGATATGGAGGAAAATTTTCCAACAATTGACACTGAACCAACATTGTTCGATTTTGAGGACATTAAAGAAAACAGTTCCTTAAGTGATAAGCTAAATGAACAACAGATTCAAGAATTGCATGATATGCTGCTAAAGTTTTCAAAAATCTTTTCTAATAAACCTGGAAAAACTCATTTAATAACGCATGATATTCAATTGACAGAAAACACCCCAATCCACTGTAAACCATACAGAATGTCTCCTAGACAAACGGCTATATTAAAAACAGAAATCGATAAAATGCTTCAGCATAAAATAATTGAAATAGGCGATTCAGATTACACTTCTCCTATGATTTTAGTAGAAGTAGCAGGGAGGGATCCAAGACCTTGTGTCGACTATAGAAAATTGAATAAATTGACTAAAACACAATTCTTCCTCTTGCCTAACATCAAACAACGGGTAGAAACGGTAGCAGGCGCAAAATATATAACTCTTTTGGATTTAACAAAGGGATACTGGCAAATACCTTTAACACCTCATGCTCAAAGATTAGCCACTTTTGTTACAAGTTTTGGCACATTTAGACCTCTACGGATGCCTTTCGGACTTAAAAATGCACCATTTTCATTTAGTAAAATGATGGCCGAAATCCTTCACGGTTGTGAAAACTTTGCTGTTCCATATTTAGATGACGTGGCAATCTTTTCAAACACCTGGGAAGAACATCTAAGTCACCTGAAAGCCGTTTTGTCCAAAATAAAGGACGCTCTTTTAACTATTAAACCAATAAAATGTAAATTTGCTCAAGATAGAGTAAAATATCTGGGACATATTGTGGGTCGTGGTATAAGAATACCAAGTGAAGTGAAAGTAAAACCTATTCTTGATTTTCCAGTGCCATCCACAAAACGTCAAGACAGAGCATTTTTAGGATTAGCAGGATATTATAATCATTACATTCCCACGTCCTCATCTATCGCAGCACCTTTAACAGAAACTTTGAAAGGAAACTTAAAGAAAGGGGAAATAAATTGGACAGAAGAGTGCACAAAAGCATTTGAAGAGCTAAAGGAGAAACTGTCTCAAAGGCCTATACTGCATGCACCTGATTTCAATAAGGAGTTTATTTTGCAAACTGATGCTTCAAACTCTAGTATGGGTGTCATTTTAGCTCAAAAAGATGAACGAGACAATGAACATCCAGTATTGTACCTCAGTAAGAAGTCTACAGAAACTGAAAAGAAGTACTCTACCACAGAAAAGGAATGCGCCGCCATAATATTTGCTGTAAAGAAACTTCAATGTTATTTAGACGGGCATACTAAATTCCTCATCATGACCGATCATAATCCCTTAGTTTGGCTCAAAAATTCTAAATCCACGACTTATGAGATGGGCACTAGTACTACAACCCTACAATTACACGATCGTTCATCGAAGTGGTAAAAACCATAAAAATGTAGACGCATTAAGTCGTACTCCCTGGCCTGATTAAATAATTTGTTTCTCTATATAGATAAAAAAAATATTTTGTTCCTTCCTCTCTTCCTCAGTGTATGTTATTATGTTATATCTTGTATTTCAATTCTGTACTGTGCTGATATTATTGTTTTTGAAAAAAAAAAAAAAAAAAAAAAAAAAAAAGTAAACTTTAATTTATAAAAATATTAATTAAAGTTTATCTGGAGGGGGAGAGGTTGTAATATCTTATTATTTAATGAATAAATATAATTATTGTTGAAGTGGCAACTCCATATTTGTATTAAACTGTTTACTCAGCAACGTGAGATATTGTTTTAAAAATGATTAGAGTTCTGAAGATTTTACCAGCTAGGAGTAGTATAAAAATTTTGCCACTTAAGATTTTGCATGAAATTTGTCTATCACCGTGAACTAGAAATAAAATATATGTTCTACTAAGAAGATTGTCTGTTTTGTAAATTACTGCAAAATACATTACAGTGCTCACATGAAATTATGTAAGGAACTATGCAAATTAAAATTTATTTTACTTAAAATTCCTTGCTAATAATATCTACACTTATGTGCAAAATGAAGATAATTTCCACATTATGCGGAATTTCTGAAAAACTAATTGACAGATTGTGAGGAAATTTCATATGAATATACATTTATAAGAGAGAAAGAGATGTGCCAATTAAAAATTTATTAGAGAGAAAGAGATGCACCATTCAAAAATCACCATGTATGCATGATTATCACTAAAGCTCATAGTGCAGGGATGTCTAAAATCCACACTGCAATATTGGATTGCAAAGGAGTTTAATATGGGGGTATGAACCCATATGACATCCAGATGGATCTTGCAGCACAATGGCGTACTGAACAGGAGATAGTTGAGGAGTCTCTGGTAGTCAATCCCACTCCTTCAGCAAGGCAGTTGTCAACTCTAACATGATTTTCAGAGGAAGGTGGCAGGGTACATCCCAGACATGCTTTGAAGGATTAAGGTCATGAGATCTCTGGCTGGCCAACCCATTTGGTGAAGATCCCTACTTTCCATGTAATTGTTAACCAGCCGAGCCCTACATGGACAAGTGTTGTTGTCCATTAATGGGAACCCAGGATCAACTGCATCCATAAAAAGTTGAACATAGGGCTCTAAGATCTCCTCTCTATACCTCACATTAATCAGATAGTCTTTGTCAAACACATGCAGGGATGTGTGTTCATCTAACATCAAACTATTATACCTCCACTACTAAAATGATCCTTTTCCTTGATGAGGGAGGGATGGTATCATGTTCCAGGCTCTCCAGATACAAATACACTGAGAATCAATGTACAGGCTGAATATTAACTCATTTGTGAAAAGCACAATGCTTCACTGAAGTCTGGTGCAAGGCATATGTTGTCTGTACCATGCTGAATGTGCTGTCTTGTGAGCGGAATGCAAACAGTGTATCTTCTGGCATATAACCCTATCTTATGAAACTTTGGCCAACTCAAGTTCCAGTGGCAGTATACATCTCACGTGAAAGTTATAAAGCTGTAGTAGTACTGTGCTGCCGCAATGAGAGTGCCAAATAACGATCTTCATTTATTGTTGTGGATCTTGGTCGACCTTGTCCATGTTTTCTCGATATGGAGTGCCCTGAAACTTTCCACAAATTGCAGGCGACATTAGGCATTACACTGAGCTTTGTAGCCATTTGTGTTTGGCCTGCTTTCAGTCTGCTGGCAATTTTCATCTCATTGCATCATCCATATGCTCATGGTTAGTCATTTTACCTAATATCTTACAAAATTTAGCCAGCTCTTGCCAGAAAATAATGCGGGAGTTCTGAAGGAGTTGGAGCACACAAATGAGTGGAAACCTCTCATGTGTTTATAATTCCCTCCATAATCACAGCTTTGCAGACGTACATGAGTACACTTACATATTTGAATCTGAATATTTGCATAAATTTTTGGCAGCATAATTGGTACCTTTTGTTCTGTACTTTTTGTCAAAATAGACATAATTTGTAAATTCTCTATATTTCACACATGAGTATATATAATTACACTGAGCTTTGTAGCTATTTGTGTAAGCTTGAAGTATTTGTGAGGCTTAAATTAATTAATAAAGTCTTTACAAACATATTCAGATGCATTCATTATTTCACTGGAAGCGTTTTTTCAAAGTTTTAGGAATGAGTGGACTCATTTAAGTTGTCTTCTAAAACATATGTAGTTAGAAGTTTTAAATAATTTTTAGTATTGTACCTTGAGAAAAATGGATAACAACTGAACATATTGGAAAACAATTGAGAACTGAAAATATTAGAGATATTGAGAAAGTGATCTGTGATTTGCTCCAGTTTCTCATCTTTTTTTCTGCTGATTATTACTTTCTTTCCAATAGTTAGCAGCGTGTGTTAGTAAATTCAGTATTACTGGAAAAGTTGTGCTTTGATTGAATTCAATAGTGGACAATTTGGTTTATATATTCATCATTAGAAGTTATTATAAATATACATAGGTATAAGTGGGATCATTTATATATGTTCATCACATTTCATTCATTTGGAAGCATTAAGAGTACTAATACATGTGACGTGTTATTCTTTTTGTGTGTGGGCATAAGACCCTTATATTGCACCTGTTGGAATAATTTTGATCAGAATTAAGATAAAGCTTAAGTAGATGACCCTTATATGTTGCTTTTCCTAAACTGTCAAATCATGTTCAATCAAAAAAAAAAAAAAAAAAAAGTGTTTTTTTTTCTTTGTTTATTGTGTGGATAAGATAAAACATGATAATTATTATAAAATTTGCATAATTTAAACTATAAACTTATTAATACTGTACTGAAATTTATTAACACTGTTTTCTTACAAAATGTGTCTTTTTCAGTTATGGTGGCAATTTCAATACCACTGCTTGATTTATTCATATCTTTGGTTGGTGCACTTGCCAGTAGTTCTTTGGCTCTGATATTCCCTCCTATCATTGAACTCTGCTGTGTTTGGAATACTAATATAAGTATGTTTATACCTTTAAGTAAATTACATTTGTTTTAATATAAAATTGATGTTAAAAGAAAATGAAATGATTATTTTAAATAAAATTAGAGTGAAATAAAAAAATATTACATTTACTAGTTTTAAACAACTTGAAATCGAAACATTGTTAAATGAAACAGTCAATCATTTCTCAATTATGAAAAATGAAATGTATTCTTAAGGGAATGAAAATATAATACTTATTTGTATTCTGCGAGTCTTTAGGCGAAATTATTTTTCATTTTTTAAATGATAATTTTTCATATTTTTTTTATATAAGGGGCATCTTAAAAAGTGTTAATTTTGATATAAATGTTGTAAATCCTTAAATATTTGTACTTTAGCTGTTGCAAGTGAGATATAAATGTAACTGAAACTGATTTGTAAAAATATTGCCATGTTTCCATTTTAGTAATTAAAAATTAAGCGACAAAAAATACATGAATTTTTTCAAAGGCTGTACTTTTATTTTTTTCTTACAGTGTATTTAGATTAACACAGGAAATAATGAATTTTTGAGGCAGATTCAATATTTTAAAACTTCATATTTTACAAAATTATTGCATATGAAAATTAAACATTAACATATTAAATTTTGAATATAACTGCTTGTTTGAATAGTTTTAAATTTGTTTTTTTAAGCAGTGTGTAAGCAATTGACTTAAGATTATGATATGCTAAATCATAATCTTAAGTCAATTGCTTACACATAGATGATATCTATAGATGCTATATCTTTAAAAAAAAAACTGAATTAAAGACTAGACTGTTAAAATCTAAAAAAAGCAAACAAAAACTGTTAAATGGAACAATTAGCTCTGTTTGCTGCTAATTTTCTTGGTTAATGAGCTTTCTCTCTACTGGCATTTCATGGATGTCATCATTTTCGGCATCTTTCCAGATTAAATTCCTATCAGGACAGTCTATGGCATTTGAAGTTTGGATATCATGAAACTGATTTCATTTATTATTAGTGAAATTAATTTCTATATCTGACTGATTCATTTATGTGTTCTTTTCAAACTCAGTTGTGTATTTTACCTACCTTGTCTTTAACTAGCTATCAACTTTGCATCAAAACTTCAAATTGTATATCTTATTTAGTTGTGGTAAAATTTAAATTCTCCAGAAATCAGTTGCATATCCATTTTTCCGTATTTGAAAAAGTTCTTGACCTTTTTCGTTTAATGTTTGTGGATTTGCCTAATGTATCCAGTCTTATTACACTTTGCATGTGAAAATACTTGGATACCAAAAGTATATAATGAAACTAAGTGTGTGAAGAATTTGCTAGGAAATACAGTATTTAATACGAAATGCAGAATAATTTTGTATTTTCAAAATGTCTTAGTCTTCATTGTCATGTTATAAAGCATTTCTGAGAAGCTTTCCGAGATGCAAAAAAATCAGCTAATTCTATTAAACTGGGTTTTCTTAATAAACTTAATTATGCATTAAAATGGTAATTCAAAGAAGATAATACATCAGTTGATTGATATTCCATCTTTCCTTGATTAATATAAGCTTTTATGCAAAACCTTTTCCTAATCATGAAATAAATATTTTTTATATATGTCACCAAAGGTGAGTTTATTTTTCTGTTTCAGTTTTAATGTTAAGTTAGTACTGTAATGATGTATTTTCATAATATACATGAAATGGCAACTAATTAGAGAAATGATTGTATTATTTATACTGCCATATAAGTTATGTAATGTATTATATGTATGTACATGTACTGGTAGCAGAAAAATTTAAAAAAAAATGTAAAAGTTAATCCAAGGGTATCAAAGTATTTTTTGTTGCTCCATTTAATGAAAAATGTTTTACAAATTTGCTTCTTTTAAAAAATAAGTAATGATATTTTGGGATAAATAAATAAACAAACATATTTTTTATTTTAAATTTCAGGTCGAAGAAAATTATGTCTCATCACAATTAAGAATTTCCTGATTGCATGTTTTGGATGTATTGGCTGTGTGATAGGTACATATACTGCAGTCTCTGAGATTATATTTTGTTTACAAAATCCAGAGGATGCAAAATGTGCTTCATAATGTGTAATATTCAGGGCAGCTTATATGTTATGCATGGAAGTGAATTGTGTTCCATCAGAGAAAATGTGACGTGTTTGAAACGACTGTAAATTAACAGAATTTAGGGCACAAGATAGCTATTTCATTTCAAATTTTATATAATGGATAAATGTAGGATTTTACAATTTTACAACGAACATATTTTGTAATATTCTAACATGACCATTTTAGGCTTTCTATTAATGGGATTCATAGTAGTTTTATTTTTCATGGTAGTTTTGTAAAAAAGTATTATGTTGCTTTAATTTGAAACTCTTAAGTTGGAAGTTACATTTTGTGTTTTTATTCATTAGTTAAATATTATATTTTTCAAGATTCAATAATTAATGTAATTTAGAATATTTGTAAAAAAAAAAAAAAAAAAAAAAAAAAAAAAAACATACTCTTTTTATCGTACACCATCATTTACATAAACCTACAGCTATATGGAGGTGTTTTAGCATCTTCAGCTTTGGGTATATAGGTGCTGTTCTCTTCCATGTGATGTCTTTGTGTTTAATCATTCATATCTTGTATATAAAGTAAAGATTACCTGTATATAATTTGTGATATGAGCAGATGCAAAAGTGAATGAAATATAGCTTAAAGAAAGAATCAAATACTTTACTCTTTTGAAATTACAGAAACTTAACAATAATTATTTAATAGAATTATTCAGCCTAATATACAGTTTAAAAACATCTAAGGTAATATGAAAAAATGAAGAATAATTAAAGTTTAATTTAAAACAGAATTATATAAGTATATGTGATTGTCATTTAGAAGGAGCTAATTCAATTTGATGTTCCTTAAAAACTGTAATTCCTTATATTAAAATTTTGAGATCAATTTCTTTTAAACATAAATTTTCTAAAAAAAAAATAATGTACTTAATTGTGTGAAGATTGCATTTGTTATATATTTAATTTAAAAAATTGCATACATGTATTCTTAACTGGACAAGTAGGCTTGAACTAATTCAGACATGCACTTTTCATTTTGTTTAATATTTGCTTTTGATTCTGATGTGCAAAGTGTTAAAAATTTTGCAATGATAAATAGATATGAATAAATTAAAAGCATGGATAAAGGGAATTTCCATGCAAGTAATTTGTTTTCCCCAAGTGTAGCAAATATTTTAAAGTAGTTCAGCTGGCTTAAGTTGAGTTGAGTCTTGTGCATACATAAAACTTTTATGGGATGTCCTTAAACTTAAGAAAATTTTCATTGTATTTTATTTGGTACTTTTTTTAGCACCACACATAAAAACTTATATTTTAAATAATATTTTTTCAGTTATACCTTTTAACAATTAAGAATATACCAATTGCATGCTTTGAATGCAGTCAAAGCATGCAATCCATATAGTCTTAAATATCAGAAGGGTATTTTTATTCGTATTGTAATGAAACAAAAATATGTAGGAGACATTTATTTTAATACCAAAAGAATATGGAATTTAATTTATAATAGTAGCTTTAGTGCAAGTTTTAGGCTTTTTAATTTACTTTTAATTACTTTATTTTTAATTTAATTTTAATATATTTTTCTGAAATATTACTTACAAAATTAATTAAAACTACATTTCTGAAATTTTTTGCTGTTTAATTTATTAACTATGTGGCTACGCCATCTGTAATTGGATAGTAAAGATTAGTCAAAAGAGAATTTTCTTTTTTTGATTTTTCTGATAAAGTTACGTTTTTGTTTTGTTATCCAGCTGTTTATTTTAATTTAATTTGTTTTTATTCATTTAGTAATTAATGCTTTATTCATCTGGTGTGCAATAAGTTTAAAATTTTTCTGATTATTCTCTGTAGTCATTTTCTTTATCGTCCTTAGTTTAAACAATAGCTTTAATTTCACTAAGTTCTTCATTTATATATATATAATGCGAACATATTGCCTAATCCTCAATATATTGATATGTTAAGATATTTTTAATAATGCATAATAAAGTGTACATAATTGTAAATTATGTAAAGTGCATAAAAATTATGTAAAGTTATGTAATATTTTACAATTAGAACTTAGTTTTATTTCAACTTAATAAACTGCCAGACAACCCTTATTATGGAACTTCTATACTGGGATGTATTTGTAGTTCAATTGTTGTTTGCTACATTGTTAATTTATTGGTTAAGAAATATGTATATTATGTGTATGAAATATGTAATCTAATTTAATTTTGAAATATTTAGTTTATGCTTTAGGTATATATCCATGATTCTTGTAATATATTTTTTTGTTTTGTGATTATTTTTGTGAAACTGTGATATAACATCGAGTTATAAATGATAAATTATCTTTTTGCACTTTCTTCCTTTAATGAGATGATTTTATGTAGTATTCTGCATTTTATAACTTAAAGAAGCAGAAATGAATGTAATCTTGTAATGTAAATAGGAGTATTATCTTGTAAGAACATTCAATTCATTTAAAAATAAATCTTTTTGTTTGTGTGTCCTCAAATGCAGAGTTGATACGTTTTTTGTGCATAAGGCACTTTTCAATTTCTTTCTTATTTACAAAGTGCAAAGGATGAGTGGGGGAAAATACAAGCTTACCTCAAGTCATGACATATTTTTTTACAAATTAAAACTTTCATTTGCTGACTTCATTTATTTCTCCCAAGTAATAATTGCCTTATTATTATTATAGAGAAATTAGGCCAAATAATATTAATACAGTAGCCCCAAAGTGTTCATCTGCTATTCTTATTTTCATTACTTAGGTTTTGAGTAATTATTATTCAATTTTGTTAAAATTATCTATCTGATAGATTTCTTCCACCCCATAATGCTATAGTATTTTCATCAGTTTCATAGATTTATCATATTCTATATGATGGCAAGTTCTGGCAGCATTTCAAAATGTTTTGCTGATATTGCATAGAAGTAAGAGAACGAAAATTATATTGTTAGGTGTGACTTTTTAAATGAGAGTTGTATGTCTGTCATTTTAAATGAAAAGCTGGAATAGTTAAATAAAATGTTAGAAAGAAAGACATATTGAATGCTAACTAGGCTAGAAACTAAATTATTTGCTCTAAAATTTTTCTGATTATTGGAGAGGGGAATAAATTTTGAAAGTGAAATGAAAAATGAACTTCAGGGAAGACACAAATGATGAGGAAGAACTTTATACCGGTAACTTCAAACATTCTGAGGTATGCTTGTTGTTTTTATTGTTGTTGTGCTTTTTATTGCTTGTTGAAGTGCAAAGGCTAGAATTTGCTGGTTAAATTATCATAAGAATTATATTTTGTTTTATGTACTTTTTTAAAAACACATTTCTTGTAATTCACTATGATCTAACATTAGGAATGTGTAATTTCATAATTTTCAGAAATTTTTAAAGGTCTTTTTTTATAAACTGTACTGCACCTTTAATATAAAAACAACCAAAATTTTAATAAATTCAGTGTTTGAAATGCATAGCTTGAATTGAATTAAATGATTTCAAATTAAGGTTGCAATAACATGTGTAACAAATTTTGTGTTGTTGTATGTTTTCTTTTCCCCCAGATCTAAGAATTCTCAGTAGTCTGTGCAGGTCTGCATATTTTTTATGGTGTGTATATACATTTTGCATCATTATTTAACATGATTTTGTGCGAAAAATCATTCAGGTTTATCTATTGATGCTTTAAACTATATTTAAAGTTGGTTTTATTAATTTTAAGAGAAAGAATGTTCATAAATAGCAACAGCTCTTAATCAGAGCATAAAATAGCATGCAGTGAATTGATCTATCTCATCACTAAGCATGAATACCGATGTAGAATCTAGGTAATATTGTGAAAGAACCTAGCAAATTTAATAATTAGCTGTTATTTCTGATATGGCATAAAGCATTACTGAGTTTTTGAAACTTATAATTGAAAATTAACTGAATAATTAAAGTCTAGAACGTATGCCTCTGAGCATAAAAATGATAAATAGTATGTTATTTGATTACAAGAGATAATTAAATGCTATTTGGAAATTAGTTAAACTTTAACATAAACATTCACCATAATACAACATTGAAATGTTTGCATGATGTGTAATTCTAATGTATGCAAGCTGGATTTACTTAAAAATCATTGTTTTTGGGGCAGAGGTTGTGTTAGAGCTTCCATTAATGTACATTGCATTTTGTGATTTGTATACATGATTATTGTAAGTGCTATTTTCTTCAAATTCACTGTCTTTTGATGTAATGAATTGCAGTGCAGGAGTAGTCTACATTTGAGACCATAATAATAACTTCCCCCTTCTTTTTATACTGCATCTGATATTAAAAGGAATATAGTAGAATCTAATTTTCTGAACTAAATGGAGAGGAATTATTTTAGTTAACACAGTACTGGATGATACATGTCGAATATTTTCAACAGTTAAAGGTAAAAGTAAATATTTACAATATTAATTAGCAAAAAATAAATAAAATATTGTATATCTATATCAAATATTTAATTACTTTGTTCAGAGTTATTTTTAAGCAGTTTCAGTTAAACTGGATTAGTTAAGAAAAGTCCAGTAGCACCATATGAAGTTACCTTTTACTATATGAAGAAATAAAATAGCAGAAATATTTTTCTTAGTTGCCCTCATTTAAGAGATGCAGAATTGAAACTTAAGATTTATACAATTCATGGAGTTCATATTATTACAAGTTAATTATGTTTTAATATGTTAGTTTCCTTTAAAGGATTCTTGAAAAATTTTCAAGGATAAATTCAATTGCACCATTAGTAATAATATCATTGTTCTGTGTATTCAAATTATAGCCATACAATTACCACATTAAACTTAAAATTTGGAAAAGTGCTAAAGGAAAGTTGCAAAATTATCCTATAGATTGCTGCAGCTGACATATAGCCAATAACTGATGTGGAAAATTCTTGTGTAATTTATTTCATTGCTAACTGCATTTGATCTAAAGTTGTGTTCATGAAATTAAGTACAGTCAAAAGTCGTTAATTCGGACACCCATAATCCGGAATGATCTATAATCCGGACCTCAAAGCTACAAACTTTCTGTGCATGCGTCGCATTGACGCATGCGCGTAAGACCTTTACGGCTGCGAATATGCTTGTGCGCGTATGCAAAATATGTTTACGAGTGCGCGTTTAATGTATAACGGACAGTATAAGCTAAGCTAAAATTATCTATTATCATTTCAGTTAATGTTGCACATTGCGTTGTTCCTTAATCTTCAAATTGGATCCGGCTTATTATTTTTTGCAGACTATTAGAGCAATTTTATAAAAGTAAGCTTGAACTTTCGATTATGTCAAATAGAATTTCTAATATATATTTATTAATATGTAAAGGATCTACAAAGCGAAAGTATGTTTCGAAGTTCATTAAACAAAAAGTGGAATTGCTGCAAAAAATGGATAAAGGCATATCCTTTATTTATCTAAACTTTAACGTTTGTTTATCTAAACTTTGTTTTCTTTAAAACGCCAGCGGCGTGCAATGAATTGGAAGTTGATCTGTCAGCACTATCCTTATCTTCAGGGCAGATGTTTTTATTTTATTTGGCTTATAATTCCTTATTAAATGTAGTATTTCATCTCGTCTTTGATATGATTTAAATCAAATTCCTCGTTCATTATAATTCGCTTCCGATAGCGAAGAAAGTGACAGAGGTTATTGAAAACGAAAAAATTTCGATTGACAAATTAGTCGGTATTCTCGACACAGCAATTATAGGACTTGAACAAGCGG